AATCAAAGTTGGTGGCATTGTAGCATTGTGTCACAGTTGACACGAACAAAATGCGTTCCTATTGTTCGATATCCTCAAAAAAAGGCAACCAAAAAACGACACGAATTGAACAGGTCTTTTTGTCGAATGCACATTAGAGGCACACGAACCCCGTTGACCTCACTCTTTTTTATGAAACCACTGCCACCTCCGACCTGAATCTTCAGATACAATTGATTAGAATCAACCTTTGTTAATACTGGAACATACGCACAAGATAGCGAACTGCCAGTGGATTAGTATTTGTCCGAGGCCATTCGATCTATCGGTATATGACCGAACAAATTTGATCCACCTGTTGTTGGTGTTGTTTTGAAGAAATGATTGGTATATTGCACTGATCGATAACAAGTGCTGCACAATCTTCATGTGCCCTCAGATATGATCGTCCTACAATCACCCGTCCGTTCCCTCTTTATTGAACCTCCGTTCTCTTCCGGTCGCAGCTGTTGGTCTGAGAAAACACCATTTGCCTTGAGAGCTAATTGGTATCGAAAACATTGCCGAATAAAACAGTGGGAACACTCCCTTCTAATTCCATATCTACTCACTTAAGTAGTGAGTAGTGAGTCCATTCGTTTCGTGTTGCTCTTCATTAAACGTTGTGCTCGCTTGTGTGTTTTGATTCTAACTGCACAATTACCTGCGAGTAGTGGTCCAGTCCTCAATCAAACAAGACACTAAAAGCGATTTTCGATCTTTGTTTACCTCATCAGCAATTCATTCAGGATTTGATCCGTATGGGATGCGTTTTTTAATGGTCTGCAAACCTATCCACACCGGAACTGACCACAGTTATCTATTAAAACCTACCGCGATTGTCTTTCATAATGATCGGTCAGTTTATTGCATTAACATACATGAATAAACATCGCTGTTTAGTGCCAAAATCTTCGGTCGTTGCACCAGAAATATAAGTGAGACATCTCCGCTGGCGGAGATGTTGTCACAGTTTCTCTATTTTTATTATTTATCGCAACATCAATCCTAATTTAATCTATTTTATCTGAATGAACAGCCATTCGAAAATATAACGATTTAATGACAGTTCTTTTCTGGAGTCTTCACTCGTGTGCGTAGTCTGGTACTCGTTCGCTTTTCTGTTAGCATCAACATTTATGGTAAATTGGATGGTCGAGCCCCCACATGGTACACTGTCGATCACACTGGGCTGATAACCCAAACTATTCCACTCGCACATACAACCAAAGCGATCAGTGGATCTGAAAGTAAAAATTCGGGCTTGTTAAAAGTGGATGCGGTAACCAGTGCAACCACTGTCCGGCTGATGGACTGTAGTCATTCCGCCCATCTGTCTGTGTGTGTGTGTTGGATGTAACGCGACGCCTTTTGGCCCCACTTAGCAAATACGATCGTTATTGTCAATCTCCTAATGAGATTTCATTGGTACTAACTCTCATTTATTCTGCTACAAACAAACAACTTAAGAACGACGTGCTCGATGAGGCTAAGTACCGTCTATTTAGAACGTATAAGGAATCAATTGGATTGGATCGTTTAGGAGCAAAATAAAATACACTTTATGGATCTCATTCTACTGTATCTGTTTGATCTCCATATCACCCTGCTTCGCACCGTAATCCCCATTCTTCTGTTATTGTTTGTGTTGCGTTGGCACTGCGCTTGTTCGTAAGAGATATCAGGAATATTGTTCTAGCAATCTCTTACACTATCAGCCAGGCATGCGTTATCATGCTTGTATATTCACTGATAAAATCTATCTGGTATTCTTTAAATTCATTATAACTCTAAACTGCGGATAGAGACAGTCTCATAGTCATACGACTAACTGTCCGGTTCCGTAAATTGACTATTCAGTTTCATGAATAAAAAGTAGGGATCTATGTGGTGTTTTTCACATTAGGCAGGTGCGGATAATTGAATGACTGCTCATCACTAAAGGCGGGTAATTCTGGCTGTACTCAAATCATCAACTTTTCGGATCAGTGCATACAAACGATAGTAGCTCAAGCAGCTAAGCTATAGGATAATGTGGTGAATTTTGTATTTAATTAGCCTTGCATGAACATAAAACAATGGACATCTCAGTGCGTAAAATCGTTTATCAATGATGGGTAGAAAATGAAGTTCGCATCAAAATCTAACCGTTCCCTTTCAATGCAGTTTGAATCATCCGGTGGCATAAGTGCCTTCCAAAGTCCTTCCGATGGATTCATCCTGCTGATGACAACCAACTATATTAAAGCAGATCAACACAGCTTCCTATCTTATCACTTCACCCTTCGTTCACTGTGTGCACGATGAAATTCGCTGTGTAATAAAATATTATCCGTCACTACTCGCATGTTTTAGTTTTATTATTGAGCAAATTAGAGTACGCATGGCTCTTCAATTGGATTTGAAAAACTAATATCTAGGGTGCAATTCAGAGCAATAATCAAATTGCAAAGTGATATGTTCGTGATCGCACGTTTATTTACCAATGGTTGATTCTGTTCAAACACCAGACATGATCATTTAGTCCCTATTGGCTAGTGAGCAATCCCCATCCATAATGACTTTTGAACAGTTGTGTCCTAGTCCCATTGAACAAACCATGTATGCGCTGAACAACTGTCGGTTGTTGTGCGAATCGTTAGAGGCCGTTGTTACATGAACATTGTGTGGCGTTTATCGTTATTGTCGAATTTGTAAACATTTGGCTTATCTTTTCCATAGAACATTGTTTTGTGTTCATTCCTGTTTGTTCATCTTCTCTCCTTGTACCCATAAACAGATGAGTGTGGATTGGCAAGCTATTTCACATGGTCGTTACTCATGGGACTCTTTGCGCTATCGTGAAGTATGCACCTTCCTTAACGGAACCTGGGGTGGTGTCGGTTGCGATCCGTTCTACGTGCCCGATGTGTTCTTTTTCTCGTGCATCCTATTCATTTTCACCTTCTTGTTGGCTATCGGACTGAAGAATGCCCGTTCCTCGTCATTCTTCCCGGCACGCGTAAGTTTGATCGATACTTATGCATAGTTGTCCGAAGACTGGAATTTGGGAAACTGTGTCAGTATTTTTCATTTATCCAGCCCAATTCACTGTTTACCCGGCTTACCATGAATGGAGCACAATCGAAGAATGAATTTCAGTTTGTGTTTAAACATTTGTTATCTTTGCACTTTCCTGTGGCATCTTTGATTGTTCTATTTAGGCTACCTATTTGAATGAAGGAGTAAATTGATAAGTTAGAATGCTGGAAGGGGTAGCAAGGTTAAGATCTAGAATGTGGATAGACTT